CTGGGCCCCCCCCCCCCGGCGGCGCCTCCGGCGCCGCCCCTGGCGCGCTCCGCGCGCCAGGGAGGGGGGCCCAGCGGAGATCCAAGAAATCCGCGCGGAGCGCCAAACGTTTCTTTCATGCGTTCTTCTTTTAGAACAGGTAGCCGTACCGCTACCCTTCCCCCATTTTCCCCTTTGGGGGCCTCCTCGGAGCCCTCGTCGCCACCGCTGGACTCGCCTCGAGACCCTGTTCAGAACGCACGCCAGGAGAGGTCGGGGGAGTAGCGGCATCAGTACTTGTGCTCCCCAGGATCACAGTCGGCGGCGAGCGATGGGGGGGGGGAATTGAGAAGGAGGAGGCCTTCGTCACAGGGCGCGGGGGGTTCTCAGAAGTTCTCGCGCCTTCTGGGAAGTTGCCCGTGTCTTGGGGGATGGCTTCAGAAGACTTCGCAGCAGGCTGGAGGACCTCCGAGCCTTCTGAGAAGGCCCGCCCCTTCTCACTCCCCCCCCAGGCTCGCCGCCAACACGTGCAAATCTCCAGGGGCTCCGATCCCCAGCGTCGTTGGCGAAGGCTCTCTGGCGAATGATCGTAAGATGCCTGCCCCTGGGCTGGCCACCCCGGTTGCCTCCGCCAAGAGTCGAGGCAGAGTTGGCATGGATTCATGGCACGTGGATGAGCGACGGGTCCCGCGTCCGAGCAGAATCGGCGCGCTGCGTGACCAAATCAGGCGGCATTGGCCTCATGTGTCGGAGGGGGGGGCCTTCCCCGATCCGTGGATCTTGCGCCCACGCGACAGATCCACGGAGACCTAGACCGTGTTGTGAACATCAGTTTGTGCCCGAGAGATTCGGCCGCCTCCTCTGCTGTTGCCTTCCCTCCTGCGTGGTGGCACGCTTCGCTGCAACGGTGCCCCCGTTTAGGTAGCCCTCCACCACCGCAGTTGCCCTGCCTAGCTGCCGACGCAAAAAGTGTGCCCGAGAGAGCCGCCTGACTGCTGCACGACTCGCCTCCTTCACCTGGACGTGCAATGCTTCTACAGACGCACCGACAGCTAGAAGGACTCGAGGGCGCTCTGGGGGGCACTCCAGCCGTCCATGGCCCTCTTCCCCCTGCCTCCTCGTCCTCCTCTTCCTCCCTCCCCCTCTTCCTCCCTCCTCCCTGCTCCCTCCTGCCTCACTCCTCCCTCCTCCCTCCTCCTCCTCCTCCTCCTCCTCCTCCTCCTCCTCCTCCTCCTCCTCCTCCTCCTCCTCCTCCCCTCCCTCCTCCCTCCTCCTCCTCCTCCTCCTCCTCCACTCTTCGGCCAAATGCCGAAGCCCATTAACAAGAAAAACGCTTGCCTGCTGTGCCCTCTCGTCCTTTCTCCGCCGCATCGGTACCCCATTCGAGCCGCAGCAGCCCTGCCGTAGCCGCGACCGCCACTTGTTTCCGAGGCGCCGCCGATCAAAAGATATGCCCGAAGGCGAGAGTAAACTCAATCCATTTAGCAAGGATGCGCGATGAGGATGCAAGGGCTTTGGACGTCCATTTCGAAGCTTCTTGAGCGGGGCGCGGCCAACGAAAGTGGCCGAGGATGGACCGAGGAGGCAAGGCTGCAAAAGGGTACCCTTGGGAAGGTTGCCCAGCGTTACTGCGCGGGTTGGCTGCGAGGATATGGAGGAGGAGGAGGAGGAGGAGCAGGAGGAGGAGGAGGAGGAGGGAGGAGGAAGAGAGGGAGGAGGGGAAGAGGAGGAGATGAGGAGGAGGAGGAGAGGAGGGAGGAGGAGGAGGAGGGGAGGAGGAGGAGGAGGAGGAATAGAGGAGGAGGAGGAGGAGGAGGAGGAGGAGAGGAGGAGGAGGAGGAGGAGGGGGGGGAAGAGGAGGAGGAGGAGCAGGAGGAGCAGGGAGGATGGGAGGGCGCCCTTGCAGGCCCCGAGCCTGCCCCTCGCACGCGTCGAGCTCGAGGAGGTCGAGGGGGCGCCCTTCGAGGCGCGGCGCGCCGAGCGCGCGCGCGCTTCGGCCGCCGTCGCTGCGCGCGCGCGCCTCTGCGGGCCACCCTCCCAGACATCATCGCGTCGTTAAAACATCAGGACGGGAGGTTTTAGGCCTGAGAAAATCAGGACGGGAGGTTTTTGGCCTAAGAAAATCAGGACGGGAGGAGGACGGGAGGTTTTAGGCCTAAGAGAATCAGGACTTGAGGTGTTTGGCCACTTCCAGCCTTGGGGGGGCATCGCTGGGCCTTGGGACCGTCAGAAAACGGCTCGGGACGAAAAGCCGGTCCCGGGGAAGGGGTCGGGACTTTACAGGGACCCCGTTCTGAACAAATCAGGACGTCGCATGCGACATGGACTCGGACCCAGACATGCGGCATGTCTGGGTCCGAGTTCTGCCTGGCTTCGGTTCGATCGGAGTTTGGGATGCGGGCTCGCAGGCTCCCTCCCTCCACTCCGCTCTCAGAGACTGTATCAACAAAGATCAAGCTTACATCGGAATGTATGTACACATGTAAAGATATGGGGTTGACCCGTAATCCCAACGCGTCAACATCCAACATCTGGGAACGCATCGCATCTCACAGCTGAACTCTGGAGGTTCGGGTTTTCAAGGGCCCCCCTCCCTGGCATCGACGATGTATCGCGATGCCGCTCGTTGTGGAACCCGATGTTCTCCACACCGACGTCGCTGGTACCTCGCCGACGTCGCTGATGCATCGGTGATGCATTGGCGATGCAGCGCGACCCCGTTTGGGAGGCTTCTGCCATCCCTCCCATCCAACCCATCCCTCCCGTTCCCATCCTTGCCGCCCCATCTTCGTCTCCCACCACTCATCCTATCCCATCCCGGGTCCGATCAGTGCTGGGGTTCAGGAGCGAAATTGGCACGTACGCGATCATGAATTCACGCGGGTTTCGACAGACCGCGCTGCGCGAGCGTTCCAGACATGAGTGTGGTTCGCGAACCAGGAGGGGCATGGGGCGCTCGTGTTTTTGACTGCTGGCTGAGCGCGCACGTTCTGTTGGGGCTCCCCATCCGACACCCCGGCCATGCACATTTTGACCCCGCGCCGATGCTTCAGAAGTCTGACCTGCAGGGGTTAGGGCCTGCACGTGGTCGCCAATGCACCGCGGAGGAGTTCGTTGTCGTCGACCTGTTTGTCCTCGCCCTCGTCTTTATCCAAGGGGTGGCAGGGAAAAGCTTGGATGGGGGAGAATGGCGGGGAGGAGGCAGGAGTGGGGGGGAGGTGTGGGGCTCCTCTTCCTTCTCTCTCCTTCGTAATCGCTCCCACTTCGCAGGCTGCCGCTGCTGCTTCCTGCTGCTGCTTCGCCCTCCTCTCCCTCCTTTGCCGCAGCTCCTGCTTACAGTCAAAAACCCTAATAAGGGAAAAAGCGTGTTCTACCGCTGCTAGCGGCAAACCGGGGGGGGTCACTACCGGTTCGAACCCCCCCCCCCCCCCTCCGGAAAACCGGGGGGGTCTCGAACCCCTCCCCCCCCCTGTTCATCATGAAAAGGGGGGGTGGTCACTACCGGTTCGAACCCCCCCCCCCCCTCGAGCTCGAAAACCGGGGGGGGTCACTACCGGTTCGACGCCCCGCCCCCCCTCGAAAACCGAGGGGGGGTGCGGACAGTGGTGGGGACGGTGGTGGTGGGGACAGTGGCGAGGGGACAGTGGGACAGTGGTGGCGACAGTGGGACAGTGGTGGGGACGGTAGTGGTGGGGACAACGGTGAGGACAATGGTGGGAACAGTGGGGACAGTGGGACAGTGGTGGGGACGGTGGTGGTGGGGACAGTGGTGTGGGGACAGTGGGAATGTGGTGGAAACAGTAGGACAGTGGAGGGTACAGTGGTGGTGGGGATAGTGGTGAAGGCGGTGGCGAGGACGGCGGTGGGACAATGGGACAGAGGTACAGTGGGGACAGTGGTAGGGACAGTGGGGACAGTGGTGGGAACAGTGGGACAGCTCAGTGGTTCGAACTGGTAGTGACCCCCCCCTCCGGTTTTCGAGGGGAGGGGGGGGGTTCGAACCGGTAGTGACCCCCCCCGGTTTTCGAGCTCGAGGGGGGGGTAGGGGAGGGGGGGGGGGGGGGGGGGGGGGGTGGGGCGGGGGAAGGGGGGTGGGTGGGTTCCAGCAGGGAGGGGGAGGGATTGTCGAGGAGGGTTGCGGGGGGGACCCCCGGGTTCCGGAGGAAAAGGGCGGCAATTTTCCACAGTAAAGCGGCGGTGGATCACGCTCTCTCATAAGGACTTGCGTCTTTGCTCAGGGTACCCTTGCGTCCTTGCTCTTCCTTGCTCTTGCGTCCTTGGGGTTTTCGTCGTCCGCCGCCCCAAAAATCCCAACTTCGGCTTCGAGGGGTCTTGCGTCCTTACCGCGCGTCCTTATTCGGGTTTTTGACTGTATACCTCCCCTCCCCGTGCTCCTCTCGCCAATCCTTGAAGGCCACCTGGACGGGGAAGACTCATCACACCCCTGGGGGCCCCACTGAGGGGTCGAACTGCCCGTCCTCCCTCCCCTGCGCTCCCCGCGCGCGCGCTCCGGCCTCCCTCGCTGCTGCTCCTGTTGTTGCTGCTGCTCTTGCTGCTGCTCCTGCTGCTCCTCCTCCTCATCCTCCTGCTCCTCCTCCTCCCCCTGCTGCTGCTCCTGCTGCTTCTGCTGCTGCTGCTGCTCCTGCTCCTCCTCCTCCTGCTCCTCCTCCTCCTCCTCCTCCCGCCCCCCCCTGACTTCTGCTGCTCCTTCTGCTGCTTCTGCTGCTGCTGGATGCTCCTGCCCTCCTCCTATCCTGCCCCTGCTCCTCCTCCCTCTCCTCCCTCCCTCCTTCCTCGCCTCCCTCCCACGCTCCTCCCCTTTCCTCCTCCTACCTCCTCCTTCCTCCTCCTCTCCTCCTCCTCCTCCTCCTCCTCCTCCTCCTCCTCCTCCTCCTCCTCCTCCTCCTCCTCCCCCTCCTCAGCCATTTTGCGCTCGGGCGCCCTTCTTCGCCTGGAGGAGGCCCCGAGTGTACTGACACTTAGACTTCAGAGTGGCCACGAGTGTCGGAGCCAACACACGGATGGCTGCCAACAAGAGCAATGGCAGCAACAACACGACGTGGCGGTGCGAGCCGTGCAACGTCAAGAACGGAGGGAAGTACAAGTACTGCTGGAAGTGCTGGGGTGCCCGCCCGACAGCGGCAGCCGCAGGAGCTTCCAGTGCGGCGGCAGGAGAGGCCTCCGAGGACAAGAGCCACGACGAGCAGCTCGCCAAGGTGCAGCACTACCGTGCCAAGCTGGCGGAGCTCAGGAAGCTCGCCGAGGACCCGTTCCTGGAGGAGTCCCTGCAGCCGCAGGTGGCGCAGCTCGAGGACAATCTCGCCGCCGAGCAGGCAGCCTTGGAGACAGGAGTGCCGCGCTGCTTCGCCGAGCGCAGAGTGTACGAGACAGGAACAGAGTCGCGGAGCAGAAGAAATAGTGCCAGCAGCGGATCGAGGCGCTCCAGGAGCAGAGAGACGCGCTCGACGAGAAGCTCGCCGACGAGCGCAGCAAGCTGGGCAAGTTCGACACCAAGCTCGACACCTTGGACAAGAAGATCAAGGAGTTGGCCGTCCCTGCCCCAGGGAAGGGATGGGCAGCAGCGCTCGCCTTCCTTGAGCAGGCCGAGCGATGCCTCGACGACGACGGGAGCGAGAAGCGGGAGCAGCTCGCCGCCGCCGTCGCCCACGCCAAGGAGCAGAAGGCACAGGAGGAAGAGCGGGCCAAGCACGCCGAGCGCCTCCAGAAGGCCAGGGCGGAGCAGGCACGCGCTGCCAAGGAACGGGCTGGCAGCGCCGACAACCGCAAGCGGAGCTGCCCCGAGGGCCCACCCAAGGAGGACCTCCTCGAGATCCCCGCGGGCGCCAACGAGCAGGACATCTGCAGGGCTCTCGTCGGCGTGGGGGTCACTCCCGGCCAGGCTGGTAAGGTGGTTGCTCCTCTTGACTTGCTGGTGGGCGAGCTGCAGGCTGGACACACCCTCACCATCAGCAAGACGCAGTGGGTGCAGCAGCGCGGGTAGCGGCGGAACCAACCGCCGCTGCCCGAAGGCGCGCCTCGCCGTGTACACGGTCAACGCCAACGCGGCGAAGTCGCTGGAGCGCGTCATGAAGCAGATCAGAGACAGAGACAGGGACGCCATCGTCCTTGGCCAGGAGCTGCAGGCCAGCGGCACGCAGCTCGACTTGTTCCAGACCCGCATGCGCAGGGAGGGCTGGGACGTCGGGGTAGTGAGCAGCGCGAAGACCACAACTGGCCACAGCGCTGGAGTTTTGATAGCGACGCCACGAAGCAGGGGCATGGACTTCGTGCGCAAAGGGATCAACCAGTGGGACATCAGCCCGCGGGAGTCAAAGGGGCGACTCGCCGTGGCCTGGATCGACGCCTACAGCAAGGAGGGGCTCGTGCTCGGGGCCGCACACCTGTGGAACAGCGAGGGCCTCACGCAGAGGAACCAACGCATCCTGGCCAATTGGGGTGCCACCATGAACGCGATCCAGAAAGAGTGGACCCTCGGGGGCGACTTCAACATGGACCCAGAGAAGCTGGAGCAGGCCGAGATCGTCCGCAAGATGAACGGGGTCACCGTGCACGACACTCAGCAGGGCAGCTGCATGAGGAAGGATGGCACGAGGAGCACGCGCGACTACTTCATCGTCTCGCGCGGGCTGGTTGCACCTACGCTCCAGGCAGAGGTCCAAGAAGGGTACGACACGTCGCCGCACTTGCCCGCCAAGATGAGGTCGCCAGTGCACCACCAGAGCGACAACATGATCAACGTGCTGTGCAAGCGGACGCCGTGGCCGCTGACGCGGCCAACGGGATGCCCCTCACAGCCAGCGCGGTGGCCGAAGCCGCTTGCACACAGGAAGTACACGCAGAGCCAGGTCGACGGCTACTGGAGCGAGCTCGGGGAGGCCTACGGGAAGCACCTGGACAGGTACCGCAGCTTCGAAGGCGACGACTGGAGCAAGCGACAGGGCCACTTCGAGAAGGCCAACTACAAGCAGAAGCCGCGCAGGCCCAAGCCCTGCACCGCGGCACTGGAGCAGCAGCAGTGGGCCGAGGCAGCCGAGTGGCTCGCGCGGCGGCTGCGCCAGCTGAGGCATCTGGCCAACGCATGGCAGCAGCGGCGAGACGCGGGCACACTACGGCGCGCCCAGCACATTGTGGACGGTCTCTTCAGCCACGACATCGTCATGCCGCTGTTCGCAGAGCGAGCCCCTGGACAGGCGACCGAGAAATGCAATGACACGGACGAGGAGGACGGGCTGTTGGAGTCAGAGGACGCTTTCGGGGGGAGGCGGCAGGGGCACAGGACCGCTACGCGGTCGGAGCGCCTCCCACCGAGGGCCAGCAGGACCCCGACGCATGGGGCACGATTCGCTGGCCGCTCATCGCACGCGCGCTGCGGGACTGGCGCGTCAGTGGCATCGACGAGCGCCCAGAACTACCTGGGCTTCATAGCCACGCTGCTGGACCTCGGCAGCAAGAGATACTGGAAGGTGGTGCACCGAGCGGCCGCGGCGCAGTGGCGGCAGCGGGTGACCACGCACGGAGAACGAGGAGCAGGAGCGCTGCACAAGTAGACCAAGGCCCCCGCGCCCTGGCAACCGCAGCCAGCGCCAGCTGGAGCCGACAGCGACCAGATGCACGGGCTCACGCACCCCCAGGAGGCCGCCGACGCCGCGCTGCAGGGGCGGGAGAACATCTGGCACGACCCGCTCGAGCCGAGGGCGCCGTGGCTCCAGCCGCCCACGGGGATCGAGTGGGCAGAGGCCAAGCCGCCGCCCATCGCCCCGCAGCAGGTGATCGAGGCCTGCGGCCGCTTCAGGACCAAGACGGGGCCAGGGGGGTCGGGATGGCACCCGAGACCCTGGCGCGAAGGAGGAATCCAAGGAGCCGCGAGGGTGGCCAGCACCCTCAACGCCCTGGAGGCGGGCTCGCCCTGGCCGCAGGCGCAGGACACCATCCTGTTCTACCTGCTGGCGAAGGCGTCGGGCGGGCACCGCAACCTCGGGCTGATCCCCGAGCTGGCGAGGCCGTGGGAGACCATCCGCATGCCGTGCGCCAGGAGCTGGGAGCAGAGCCACCGCAGGGGCTACGACTGGGCCGCGAGAGGGAGGTCCAGCGAGAGGGCCGCCTGGGAGCAGGCGCTGTTCTGCGATGCCACGGTGGCCCAGGGGCTGGAGTACGCCGTCACGTACTTCGACCTGGTCAAGTGCTTCGAGTACGTCACGCACGAGAAGGTGTGGCAAGCAGGCACGCGTTCGGGATTCAACGCGGTGATCCTGGATATGGTGCTGCGCATCTACTCGATGACGCGGCGCATCGTGTTGGACAACGCATATACGGAGGGGTCGAGGTGGGCGCGCGGCATCGTAGCGGGAAGCCGCCTCGCGCCCCTCTGCCTCAAGATGGTTATCTTCGGGGAGCTGGACGGGGTCATCGCCAACTTCCCGCGGGCCTCGGTCTGCCTCTTTTTCGACGACCTGGCGGTCGCCACGCGGGGCGCGAGGCTGTTAGTGCAGTACTGGCACACGCAGTTGGTGCAGGCGCTCGTGGACATGTTCGAGCGGCTGGACATGAAGGTCTCCAAGGGCGCGGAGGGCAAGACGGTCACCATGGCCTCGACCACCGCGCTGCAGGACGGCCTCGCCAGGCGTGTGCACCCGCTCGGCATCAGGATGGCACGACATGCCGATCACCTCGGCGTCGCCACTGCTGCCGGCAGGAGAAGACGAGTCAGCGCCTTCAGCAAGAGGGCCAGCCAGTACGCAGCGCGGCGAGATCGCATCGCCCGCATACGCCGAGCAGGTGGGCCTGCGCAGGCGATCATCAGACAGGGGAAGGTGCCGTCGGCGATGCACGGGGTGCAGGTCATGGGCATGGCCAACGCCACCCCCGCCTCCCTGCGGCAGAGCGTGGCGACCTCCTTCAGGGGTACCACCATGGGGAGGTCGTCGCCGCTCACGCTGCTTGCGCAGGGCGCCGACCCCGCCATCCGCGCCAACGCGGAGCCGCTGGTCAACTGGGCCATGGCGTGGCAGGAGGTAGCCAACCAGGACGGCCTCCAGTCACAGCTCCAGAGTGCGCGGAAGAAGTGGGTACTACGAGTGGGGCGGGCAAGAGCCCCAAGGCAGCAGGTGCGAGGGCCCGCAGGGGCCTTCATCGCCGCGGCACAGAGGCTGGGCTGGGAGACGCTCGCGGCGCAAAGCATCACCATCGGCGAGGGGCACCTGGACCTCAGGACGCTGCCGCTCAGATACCTGAAGCAGCGCATCAGCACGGCCACGGAGAACGGGCTAAAGAGCCACTGCCCGCGCATCCACGGCGAGACGCACGGCCTGGACAGCCTCTTCGTGGAGCCCGTCGCCGCGCTGCTCAAGAGACCGCTGAGCAAGAAGTGGACGCTGGGGCACCAGACTCGGGTGCGCAACCTGCGGTGCGGCGGCACCTGGCCGCAGCGACGGCTCTTCGACAAGGGCGCCGCAGAGGACAGCACGTGCAAGCCCTTCCACGAGTGCGAAGGGACGGACCGCCACAGGGCGTTCGTGTGCTCGGCCAGGCAGGCACACCGACGGAGAGTGGGATGGCACCACATTGCCATCGTGGTGCCATGACGTGGCCTGGAGCGACGGAGAAGCAGCTGGCGGCCTCCGAAGCGCTCTGGGGGAGAGGGCTCGCAGCGGACCCAGCGCTGGAGTACGACCTCTGGAACTTGCCCTCCTCGTCCACCTGCGAGGTGGAGGGCGCCTTCGACGGCCTCGCGCACGGCGACATCTACACGGATGGCAGCCTGCTGTACGGGGCATACCCGGCATTGAGAAGAGGCGGCTGGTCTTTCGTGAAGCTCGACAATGAGCACCAGATGGGGTGCGCCATGTTCGGGCCGTTGGAAGGGCCGCAGCACGACCAGTCGATTTACAAGAGCGAGCTGACGGCGTTCCTCCAGGTCTTGCGGAGGGCAGCCCCGCCTGTGCGGATCTTCAGCGACTGCCAGTCGGTGCTCGGCGGCTCCGCGAGAGGCCCGGAGTGGGCCGCCAGAGCAGACACGACCCACAAAGAGGTCTGGCAGGAGTGCTGGCGGCTCGTGCGAGAAAACGGCGGGGTAGGTAGGCAAGGGATCGTCTTTTGTAAAGTCACAGCTCACGCCACGCGGGCCCAAAGGGCCATGATAGGGCCCCAGCTGTTCATCGGGGATAAACTTGCGGACGCCTGCGCTAAGCGTGGGGCTCAACTGCACCAGCGCGCGGCCTGGTACAGGGCCGCGTATATTCAGAGTTTCCAGTTGGTCTCAGACATCCGGGAATTCGCCGCGCACGTCGGGGTTCTCGGTCACGGGCTCGAGGACACTGCCGGGGGCCCAGGGCCCTCTGAGGACCAGGGCAGCCCCGCCCCCGCCCCGACGCCCAGTGAGGGAGTGGAGAGCCCCGCGGGCACTCCAACGCCCTCACAGGGCCTCGTGGTCCCCCCTCCTTGGCCTCCCGCGGGGCTCGGAGAGTTGATCCAGCGGGTCCAAGCCGAAGGCCACCAGACGGTGCGCCTTCAATCAGTGATATTCAGTCGGGAGTGCGCAAGGTACGCCACCAGCCGATGGAGGGGTTTGTTGACCAGTTGTCCAGGGGGGACCATCGGGTCCTAGCTGGGCGTTTAAACCGTTTGTGGCAGGGAAGACACCCCACCACGAATCAGAGCTTCGGAGGCCTCAGATTGCCCAGGACAGGCCTGGGATGAAGGGCACCTCCGTTTTCGAGCGTAGTCGCCTCGCCCTCGGCCGACTCGATTATACGTTGCTAGCGAATCCTCAGCGAATCCTCCCCCTCCTCCTTCTCCTCCTCCTTCCCCTCCTCCTCCTTCTCCTCCTCCTCCTCCTCTGTTCCTCCTCCTGCTCCTCCTCCTGCTCCTTTTGGCCTCTCGACCCTGCGCTGCAATCAGGGAGCCCCCTAAATCTGCGGATGTTTGACGAGGACGGGGAGCAGGACGCCTCCCGAACGCCCTGCGGCCACCGCCAGTTCGAGTGACTCGAGACTTGGCCATGCGCAGGGGCAGGCGGAGTGGGGGGCGAGCGGTGGCAAGCCTCTCCTTCTCCGCCTCATCCTCTCTCCTCCCCTCTGCCCGGCTCTTCCTCGCACCGCCCCCTACCGCCGCTCCTACTACCGCATGCCTCCTCCTCCTCCCCTCCTCCTCCCCCGCTGCCTCCCTCCCCCTCCTTCCTACCTTCTTCCTTCCTCTTCCTCCTCCGCCTACTTCATCCCCTCGTGTCTACCTTCCTCCTTCCCTTTCGCTTCGTTTGTCTCCTCCTCCTCCTCCTTCTCCTCCTCCTCATCACCTCTCGTCCTCCTCCCCCTCCTCCTCTCCTCTCCTCTTCCCCTCCTCCTCCTCCTACGCCTCCTCCCTCTTCCTCCTGCTCCTCCTCTTCTTCTCATCTTCCCTCCTTTTCCTCCTCCTTTCTCCTCCTCCCTCCTCCTCCTCCTCCTACCTCCTCCTCCTCCTCCTCCTCCTCCTCCTCCTCCTCCTCCCCCCCCGTGGCACCCACGTAATTACTAACATGGCGGATGGGCCATCCTAGGCGAGGCATCAGCCAGGCTTTGGGCATCCGTCACAGGCGGCACTGAGAGTCCAGAGGCTGATCTTAGGAGCCAGCCCCCTACGACGCCCTTATACTTCCTGCCCCCTCCCCTCCCTTTCCTGGTGGCGACGACGGCGAAGTCGACTGCGCCAGCGACGGCAGCGACTGAAATTTGTGATGGCCCTGGGACCCGAAACCCGCCACGGGAGGCTGCAATTCAGGAAACATGCGGGGACTGAAACATCCGGTCCGTCAGAAGTCTAAGCTTCCCCTCCCGCCTCTCCCAGCGGCAACGACGACGTTGATCAGCGGCACCGCAACGAGCACTCACGAACGGGCGCGTCAGAAATGCGACAAAGGTCGCTATGTCAAGCCTCTCCGTGCATTGCAGTGTTGCCCGCGCCCGGAATGGGTTGGTTCGACGGGCCGCTGGCAGAAGACCCGTCAGTCGTGGCATCGCTCGGAGGTGCGCAGTGTTTCTCGAGGGAGACCGTCGAGGAGAATGTTGGGCAATGTTGGGGAACGAGTGCAAGCACGAGCCCAAAAACATGCACAGTGAGCGGCCGCCCGAGCGATGGCGACTAGCCAAGCACCCAGAGAGTCGATATTTAATTTTAACCAGACTTTCCCCTGGGAGGGGCGGCGTTCCGTCATATGCCTTGTTGTTGTTGACGGTCCAGGGGCTTGGCGAGGGCCCCCCCACCAGAGGTGCAGATGTTTTTAGCACGCCGCCTTGATTCAACAGGCTTGCAGCCGGACTGAATCGGACAGGACACGCGAGAGGACACGGGACCCTTCCGAGGGCTACGTTGCCATAGGGATGCAGGAGGCATGGGTCGCGAGGCACGGGACACAAGGGCACCCTTGGTTCGGCATGGTCGACGTACTAATCAGGGCCGGATGTGCGCCGCTCCGCCGACTCCCAGAAGAAGAAGAGAGCCATCTTAGGATCGCGGAAACCACTCGGACCAATGGGATCATTGCATTCGCTCCTACGGGCGTCCTTGAAATCTCGTGGGGGGCCTTGTGGGGCCTCGCGGGGTTGTCTTGGGGGCCAGGTGGTGGTTTCAGAAAGCTGAAACACCACCGTCTTGATCCCTTCAATGCATTGGAGGTCTGGCTGCCTGTCAGGCCCAGCATCGCGAAACACCGCCGTCTTGATTCCTTCAATGCTTTTGATGTCTGGCTGACTGTCAGGCCTGGCATCGCTCGCTCGGACGTGTGCATGTTCCAAGGAGGAGACCCTCGAGGAGCAATGTGGACCATCCCTGCGAAAAAAAAAACTCGCTGCACGAAGCCGAATCAAGATGGACGCAGGCATTCGAGTAGCTTTAAGTAGCGGGGAATCGTCAAAGCAGTCAAACAACAGTGTGGGGA